CTGCACAGAACACACGCCGAGAGAGGCGACACTTCTCCGGGAAAGTCAGACCTCGCGCTCGCGGGACAGCACTGGCGAAATCTTCCAACTGAACCATAGCTAAGGTTTATCCAAAAAAGTCACTAGGTTTGTCAGTATGAATATTCTATGGATAAAAGCCGCTAAAAGGGTCTGAAAGTTGCTAAATCTAGTGCTAAAGTCACGCTTGTGTGTGTGTGTGTGTGTGTGAGAGACGCGGGAGCTGATGGCAGCGGGCGGTGGATATTTGAGCCGGTCGATGTGGATATTGTGGATGAGTTCTTCTGTGTCATCAAGTTCTATTAGTTCTACAGCTTCAGTTTCTGAACTTTCACACTTAGTAACACATACAGCTGTTCGCTCACCACAGTGCAACAGTGAAAAGGGACGCCTTTCAAACAGTGTCACGTTCCGAACGTTGTTTAAGCGACATACCACCGGTATTGCGGTATTTTAAAAATTAAAATCATAAAAATAAACACCAGTATTCGGTATGAACCGGTATACCGCCCAGCACTACTTAACACATCTGATCAAGTCAGTGGAAACTGAAACCAGCCTAATTATACAGGCCTGTGTAGTTATTCTTGCCTTCTCAAACACTCAGATCCGTTTTAATGACTCGGATGACACTAACAGCTCTGATCAGAGCGCTCATGAGGACCGTCTTACCTCTGCTGAGAAAGAGCAGCCAGCTGGGCTCCGATAGCTGTGGATGAGAAAGGGATAAAATCACTGCTCTAAATATACACAGACACTTGCTTTGAGTTGCAAAAGTGAGTGTGTGTTTATAAAAGTAAAAAAAAAAGAAAAAAAAAGCCAAGAAAGTCGTACACAAGGCTGAGCCATTGTCTCTGTCAGACGCCATCTTCTTACTTTCAGGCTGATCTGAGGGGAAAACACAAGAACAGCTCAAAAACAGTCTCAGGAGAGTCAGACGGACAGATCCAGAGCCGCAGTACCTCCGTCCTCCAGCGATCGCTTCTGTGCTGCGAAGGGAAAACTCTCCGCTCCACCGTTATTGCTCATGGGGGGACCCGTGACGTCTCCGCCGATCTTTGCTGCAATCTGGAAAACACAAAAACACAAGTTATGATAAAAAAAAAAAACACATTTATACAGCAAAATCAGCATGAAGTTAGTACACTAACCAATAGGGGTGCAACGGTTCAACTTACTCACGGTTCAGTTTGCATCACGGTTTTAGAGTTACGGTTTCAGATCAGTATGTGCTAGGTTTAGGGAAAAAAACTATATTGTCAAAAAAAAAAGAAAAAGAAAATAAGAACAAATAATCTAACTACAAGCAACAGCACAAATAAATAAACATTGAAAAAAGATAAAATAAACAGTGCTTTTCAGTTTTTCTTAGGTAGGTCTAACATAGTTAGGTACAGAAATTGAATAAATCAAATGTAAAATAACATTGCATATTTGACAGTATAAATTAAAGATCAATCCTTATTAAAGTTACAAAAGTTATTCAATCAAGAGCAGTGAGAGATTTTGGTGTTGTTGCTGTTTGATTAACATTAAGAAAGTGCTGTCACTTTAAGAGAATGCACTGATACCGTTTGTTCAGCCAGCTATGTCTGCTAGGATACTCACCAAGACGGGCATTTTGACAAATTGTGTGAGAATTTGTCCATTCAAACTTACTTCAGAGCGCGAACATTTGCACCCGTTCTGAGACGCAGGTTCACACGCTTCGGATGAGCAACCACACAGATCTTCTCACTGCACTTCTGGCTCTTTAATATTTAAACTGGCAAGGCTTAAATGAGTTTAGTTTAAACAGATAGCAACGTGTGAGGTTCAGGTCTCACCTGCGCTATCAGCACGTGATGACGGCGTAAATTAGTTATTCCAGCATAAAGCACTCGCATTGATTAAAGAGTGACTGGTTTGTCCATGTATTGTTTTTTTCTCCCTCTCATCGCTCTTGTTGTAGTGTACTGGGAAGCCAGAATTGTATCCATCAACAGAAACATGCATTAGCTGAGCTCTAACCAACCATATTACAGATGCATTGTCAGATTTAAGTTGAACCGCAGTCCTAGTGCATGCCGAACCGTGAGTGGAGAACGGTACGGTTCGATATTTTACCGAGAACCGTTGCACACCTACTAACCAAGAATACAATACAGTACTATTTTTAAGTAGCATGGAGATACTATTAATTGCTCGTCACTTTATACATTTCCCTGTATAACGATGCATTGCAATATATACACTACTGTTCAGAAGTTTAAGATCAGCAAGATTTTTTCATATTTTAGAGCGTCTTCACTCGCCAAGGCTGCATTTATTTGATCGAAAACAGTGAAAATGTGATATTTTATTACAATTTAAATTGACACTTTTCTATGTGAGCATGTTAAAATGTAATGTACTCCTGTGATCACATTATCAGCATCATTGCTCCAGTCTTCAGGGTCACATGATCTTCAGAAATCAGTATAATATGCAGATTTGCTCATTAAGAGGTCTTATTACCACCATTAATGCTACAGGACTTTGTTGTTGTTGTTGGACAAACCCTATTGTTTTCCATAGTATTCTTTAAAATATCTTAGGAAAACCATGTAAAAGCATGATAAATAAATATGGCCGAAGATTAGAGCAATGGTAGATGAAAAGTACCATTATATATCTATCCAAAACCACTGCTGTGCCCTAGTAATTACCACAATTTGTTTTCACCATGGTGCTAGCACGTTTAAAACCCCAATAATACAATGGTACTAGCACTGTGCATGTTTAAATACACATAACTATTTGTAAGGGTGCCAAAGGAAAAAAAATAACACGGTAACACTAGGTTTTTGGACATTTACAATGCTAGCAACATGCTACTATGGTAACGTTACCTGAACGTAATCTAATTACGCTAAACACCAAAGCAAATTATCAGCATCATTGCTCCAGTCTTCAGGGTCACATGATCTTCAGAAATCAGTATAATATGCAGATTTGCTCATTAAGAGGTCTTATTACCACCATTAATGCTACAGGACTTTGTTGTTGTTGTTGGACAAACCCTATTGTTTTCCATAGTATTCTTTGAAATATCTTAGGAAAACCATGTAAAAGCATGATAAATAAATATGGCCGAAGATTAGAGCAATGGTAGATGAAAAGTACCATTATATATCTATCCAAAACCACTGCTGTGCCCTAGTAATTACCACAATTTGTTTTCACCATGGTGCTAGCACGTTTAAAACCCCAATAATACAATGGTACTAACACTGTGCATGTTTAAATACACATAACTATTTGTAAGGGTGCCAAAGGAAAAAAAATAACACGGTAACACTAGGTTTTTGGACATTTACGATGCTAGCAACATGCTACTATGGTAACGTTACCTGAACGTAACCTAATTACGCTAAACACCAAAGCATCGTATAATTTCCACCTGCTACCATTTCCGAACCGCATTTGTTTGTAAAGGCAAACATCTCCCAGATATCGTTAGAGTTTAAAAACGCGCTCTCGGCTCATGCTAACAGATAACTGTCGCGCACGCCGGCCCTGACCCACAAACGCGGCCCGCTCGCTCCGCAGTGCGGACCCTCACCTGCCGGGCGCGCTGTACCGCGTCGGCGAACGCGTCTTTCTTGAGTCCACCGGCTCCGAGCGGCGGCACCGAGCTGTATTCAGACATGCTGTCCGTGCGGACGGGTGAAGCGTACGGCGGGGAGCTCTAGGCCGGGCGGAGGTGCGCAGACGCGGGAAGACAAGCGAGACAAACGCATGGGCGGGACTAAAGGCCTGCGGGTCTGTAAGCGGTCTCCTATAGGCGTTCTTAATGAGTGGCTGTTGCGATGACCAATCAGAACGCAGCTAAAGGCGGGCGTACTCTGAGCGTCAGACCATTGATCCAATGAGTGGTGACGAAAAGACGGAGGGCTGAGCAAACGCACATAGCGTGCTGCTGCGTCAGGGAGCCAATCAGCGCTCAGGAGCGCATAAAATAGACCAATGAGGTTCAAGAAAACACTGATTGACGTTTGGATCAGCGTATAGGCTCTTTAGGACCGTTTACCTTGCTGGTTATGTTCATTTAGACATTAAGCAGACGCTTTCATCCAAAGCCACTATATTTATTATATTCTGCTGCTCAGTCCAATTTCTTGGCATTTTATGGGTTAGTGAAATACAGTTTCCGTACAGCAGAGAGATGAGCTGGTGTTATAATGATGATAAAGGCCGTCAGTGAAGAATCTGTACCGTTTAATTTAATTTAATTTATTTACATACATTATTTTGCATGCATTCAGTAATACACGGAAGAACAGCGAAAATATAGAATGACCAGAAATTATAATTATTTATGTTAACATCAAAATAAGACCAATAATAATGTCTGCATACAAAGCCACTGGAAATTAGGAGCCCCAATCTGCTACAAAAATTAATAAATCACACTTTCCACACTAATTGTGGGGAAGTTTTGCAGAATGGATGTAAACTTGGTAAATATTTTAAACTAGCTTTTATTGGAAGCTGAAAGCATAATATTTTTTTGTTAAATAGCGGTCTTTAGTTTGTCACAGCTGAATCAGGGGGAGGGGCTTTCTCATTCTAGAGAGCACTTGATTGGATACACTCCTGCGAGTGCAGGATGATGTCATCAATATTTTTGGTCTGTTTTCCCAGAAGAGAAAGACTGGAACATCTGAATACATATATCTGCTAAAAGTTTGTGTTGTGAACATTTGGTAGTGCGGTAGCATATGGATGTGCAAAAAAATAAAAAATAAAAATTTTGAGACCTTGAGCTTCTGTAGAATTTAGTGAACAAATGATGTTTGAATTCTATGGAAACCTGTGGGCGCAGATTCCGTATTGGAATCTTTATTTGATTGTAACACATACAAACAGTCTGTCTGAATTTCACCTCAGTCAGTGATAAAATACAGAGCACATTGACCTAGAAGTGACTCAATCAAAAAGTTTTTTTCCGCTTGGTTATACGAGTCAATAATCACAAACCAAACACTCTCTCTCCCATCCGTGAGTCCATAAGGCTTTCTGCTCCAAACCGCAGGCTACAGTACCTCATGCATTGAGGATGACAGCATATAAACTGAACTCCAAGGCTGCTTCCCAATTCAGATACCTACACTACACACTGAAAGCACACAGTAAAAGTACTTCTGACTTTGTAGTATGCCAGTGTTGGGTCATTAATTGTTTATCAATACCACTTGTTAGTGTTAGCATCTAGCTAAAAATCACATACAGAACACTTAAAAAATGCTGTGGCAACTTCTGCCTTGCACTCGCTGATACTTTTCTTCACCTGAAACAGTTGAAAGAAAACCATCACAAACTTTACACTGGTTTGGGGGCAACATTAGCTAAAAAAAAAAAAAAAAAAACGTGCATGGATGCATGCTTTTAAGAAAATCACTGAAAAAAGATGCCATTTGGCATGCTAATGTGAAGGTCTTATTCATGAAACACAAGCACTATTAATATATTTGTAAATACATTTTCATAAGATAATTTACACAGAAATGTGTTTCATGAGTGTGAGCCCTTGTGTTTTGACACCATTAAGTTGCATAATTATGCAAATTGAGACGCAGTGCAGGATTTTAGAATCAGTTAGAATTAGTTCACCCAAAAATGAAGATGTAGATGAGTCAGTTTCCTCATCACGACAGAGTTGGAGAAATGTAGCATTGCATCAGTGTCTCAGCAATGGATGCTCTGCAGTGAATGGGTGCCGTCAGAATGAGTCCAAACAGCTGATAAAAACATCACAATAATCCATTCTACTCCAGTCCATCAATTTAATGTCTTGTGAAGCGAAAAGCTGTTTGTAACAAACAAATCCATCATTAAGACATTTTAACTTTAAACTATCACTTCTGGTCAAAATATGAGTCCATAATCCATAAAAACGCTTCCTTCAGTGAAAAACCCTGTTGTCCTCTCACGTCAAAATCCACACACATATTTGTTTAGAGCTGTTTTGGCTTGTAAACGGTGCTTGATCTGTGCAGAATTATCTCCTGATTCAGACCAGACCACTTTTCACTGGAGGAAGCGTTATTATGTACTTGTATTTTCGCTGTGGTTTAGCAACAGTTTAAAGGTAAAAAAAAAAGAAAAAAAGGATTTGTTTTTAACAAACACACAAATTTTCACTTCACAATACATTAACTGATGGACTGGAGTGGAGTGGATTACTGTGATGTTTTTATCAGCTGTTTGGACTCTCATTCTGACGGCACCCATTCACTGCAGAGGAAGTGATGGAATGCTACATTTCTCCAAATCTGTTATAATGAACAAACAAACTCATTTACATCTTGAATGGCCTGAGGGTGAATACATTTTGAGCAATTATTATTTTTTAGGCAAGCTATTCCTTTAAACTCGAGTTGGGATGTTGATTTTGGAGCACACCACAGTAGAGGAGACGTATTACTGGACCACAGCTGATAAAACATACAAGTTTCTCAAAACAGAGGCACTTTCAATTGTACTGTAAGTTCAAAGGGAGGAAGTTAGTTTATTGTCCATTCCCATTTGGAGTTCAGTAGTGTGTACTGTGTTAAACACACACACACACACACACACACACACACACACACACACACACAGAGTACAGTACAGCACATGCTAACACAGCCTCCCACACGCAAGCGTTCATTTTACCGCATCCAGTGGGCCGTACCCTGTATATCTGAATATCAGGGCCCTGTTGACCAACAACACACATGAAGAGCACATCATGAACCTCAGTAATTCAGGAAAGGGTCAGAACAGCACCTCTTAGATTCTGCATAATTCAGTGTTTGGATTCAGTTCGTCGTTCTTCCTCACATCCACTGTTTTTGGTGAACATCACTCCAGTGATCGAATATATTGTAGGCTTAAATAAAAAAAGTATTTGACCTTTCTTGTCCGTCTTTCAACAAAAAAAAGGATATGATTGTATTTTTTCTACACACACATGACCTGTCTTTCTCTCTCTCTCATGTTCCCACTCCCAGTACTTTCCTCATGTGCTCGTAGACGACGTAGGAGATGCTGACCGCCGGGATGACCTTGAGGAAGTTGGGCGCGATGCCTCGATAGAGTCCCACCACACCCTCCTGGGCCACGATGCTCCTGAAGAGGGTCAACATGGACAACTGAGGAGCTCCTTTCACTGACGCTGAGGAACCAGAAGAGGAAAAAGAATCTTAACTTTCAGAATCAATGGTATTTGAGTGTCAATACTATATGTGACCCTGCAGCACAAAAGCAGTCTTGGGAGTCGCTGGGGTATATTTGTAGCAATAGCCAAAAATACATTGAATGGGTCAAAATTATAGATTTTTCTTTTATACCAAAAATCATTAGGATATTAAGTAAAGATCATGTTCCATGAAGATATTTTGTACATTTCCTACTGTAAATATATCAAAACTTAATTTTTGATCAGTAATATGCATTGCTAAGAACTTCATTTGGACAACTTTAAAGATGATTTTCTCAATATTTGGATTTTTTTGCACCCTCAGATTCCAGATTTTCTAATAGTTGTATCTCAGCCAAATATTGTCCTATCCTAACAAACCATACATCACTGGAAAGCTTATTTATTTAACTTTCAGATGATGTATACATCCCCAATTTTGAGAAATTTACCCTTATGACTGGTTTTGTTGTCCATGGTCACATATTATAATTTCATTTGTATTTTGAATGTTTTATTTTTTTTAATTCTTACTTTAGTGATTTTAGTTATTTTGTTGTATGATTTTGTCATTTTTATTAGATGATGCTTTTGTCTATTTAGTTTTTATTAATTTTATTTCAAGTTTTAGTGTTAGTTATTTTAGTACTTCTAGTTAAACTAAACCAAAATGAGAAATGTTGCCTTAGTAACTACACTGTAAAAACTATAGGAGTATGTTTTACAAGAAAACAATATTTGATTAATTTTTCATTTATTTTCTGCTTGTGAAATTTAGTAGCAGTTTCTGAACGAAAATGGTTTCTTCACCAATTTTTTCTTTCATTGTAGCTGAAATAAGTAATATTTTATTCAATTAATGTTTACTTTATTTCAAGTAACATACTTTTTTTATCATTTTAGTTTTAGTTAATAATAACTCTGTTCCGAATTCACGTTTTTCTGTGAATTTTGGAATATCACTTTGAAAACACTGGATGGAAATGTATAAATGTGCATAAAAAAATGCATGTGGTGCATAATTGTGTGTTTAATAAGAAGACATGCACATAAATTATGATAGAAATCCATTTACTGAATAAATTCCTCAATGCGAAAAAAAAAATCTCATTGGTCTCACATGATTGCATTCCCAAACATCAGGCATCAGAACGCAAAATAACACAGCAGCGTTTTTTACTGCATTTTGCCTGCACACTTTGAGCCACAACTCAGTAATTACATAGGGAAAAAACCCACATTATTACAGCAACTTAAAGGCACAATATGTAATTTTTTGCCACTAGAGGGCGCGTATTCAAAATAAACAAAAAAGCAAAGGCGTAGTTTGATGACGCTGTGACTGAGTGTGGAATCATAGAGTTGTGGTCTTCATCCCCACAGCCAATGCAATCCGACGGGACTCGGGCAGAAATCATGTTCATGGATGAGCTAATGATTTATTAAGGTAGTAGAATGAAGCAGGGTGAGGCTGAAAGCCTTCGAAGCGAAACGAGGCGCTGAACGAGCATGACACACGGCTGGAAAGCAGCGGAGCTTTTATTATGCCACAGTCGAGCGCTTCCGCTGCTTCCGGTCGTGCGTATGTGGGGTAAAGCAGCGCTGTTTTATCATACTAGATACATTTGAACGTTCTGTTATAATGCTACTCTGTGCGGTCGTCACCGGTCTATTAAAACGCACAACAGATTAAAGTGTCTTTGGTGTTTCCATGTTTTCTACAAAACAAAACCGTAAATCGAGGGGTTATGAGGTCTTTGGCAGGAGACACAATGACACTATAGACACGGTCCATGTCACTAGTTAAAATTGCTTATTTCTCTGGATTTAATCATTCTTCGAAACATTTGGGATAATGTAAGTACACAAGTCAGCAAAATATATAACACTGTTCTAGTAGTTTTTGGATATTTGAATAAAAAAATCTTACATATTGTGCCTTTAATTTTTCATTAGTGATACTTTTCACCAGTTTCCTATGAACTGACAATTTGGTTGTTTTGAACATGAAGGATGGAAATGGTGCTTTATTCGCATATGTTTTCTGTGATAATCTTTTTTCCACATAAGTTAACATTTGTAGTTTGGGATGGAAGCACAGCTCTCGTCGGATTCTGTGTGTGTGTCTCACCCTGCGCCTGCATGCGTGTTCGGATGAGGGCGAGCGGGTAGGACGCCAGCTGTCCGCAGGTGCTGGACACCGTGCCGCAGCCCACCAGCACCAGGACGCCCGGGTGGGGCGATCCCTCCGTGTGCCGCTGCAGCCAGGCGTTCTTCAGCGTCTGAGAGAGGAAGACCGTGTGAGAGAGAGTCTTTATGAAGGAATCATTCTCAACACACACACACACACACACACTCTCACACACACACACACACACACTCTCTCACTCTCACTCTCACACACACACACACACACACTCTCTCACTCTCACTCTCACACACACACACACACACACTCTCTCACTCTCACTCTCACACACACACACACACACACTCTCTCACTCTCACTCTCACACACACACACACACACACTCTCTCACTCTCACTCTCACACACACACACACACTCTCACTCTCTCACACACACACACACTCACACACACACACACCTCGTAGACGGCGAGGTCTATGCCCGCATACGGGACGATGCCCAGCATGTTGGGCAGGTATCCTTTATAAAACGCCAGAACGCCCTCCTTCTGCAGGATCTGCTTAGCGCAGTCCGCCACACTCGAATACTGGCCTGTTTTACGAAGAGTAAGACGAGTCTTCAGCACCTACAGAACGAGAGAAGCAGACAGGGATGGAGTGAGGAAATCAATGCAGAGTCATGAAAACAATCACCGTTCCCACAAAAATATGAAGCAGCACAACTGTTTTCAACACTGATAACAATAATAATAATAAATGTTTCTTGAGCAACAAATCAGCATATTAGAACGATTTCTGAAGAATCATGTGACACTGAAAACTGGAGTAATGATGCTGGAAATTCAGCTTTGCATCACAGAAATTATAAATAAATAAATATAATTATAAATTATAGTAAATAAATTATATTTTAAAATATATTTAAATAGAAAACAGTTATTTTAAATTGTAAAAATATTTCACAATTTTACTGTATTTTTGACCGAATAAAGCAAGCCGTGGTGAGCAGAAGAGACTTCTTACAAAAACATTAAAAGATTACAGACCCCAACTTACATATCAAATTGATATTTTGAACTAATTAATATATTATATAAACAATTTTTAAATCTATTTTAATTAATAGTGATTATATTTATTAATGTGATTATTTATTGAAGATATGTATATTTTTTATAACATTGCTAATGCCAACATTTAAAAAAAGGCTTTATTTTACTTAAGTCTATTTCAAAGACTTCACACTCCATTAACTACAGCCATTCACGGCTCACTGCTTTATTCTTAAATGGGCCGCTGAATGCAGAGCACTTTCTTGAACTTTACGTGAGGCCTTTGGTAATGTGAGTGGACGTGTGCGTGTGTGTGTGTGTGAGAGTGTGTGTGTGTGTGTGTGTGAGTGAGTGAGTGAGTGAGTGTGTGTGTGTGTGTGTGTGTGTGTGTGTG